TTGATCAGCTAATTCAAACATTAAACCAGCTCAAAAATGGGTCAAGAGAAGCAATTCTTCTGAGAGCTGGATTTCTAATTCTGCATGATTTTGGCTCTTTAGTCATACTAAACATGTTACCCAATCTTGCAGTCCACTCACAGCAAGACAACATTTGGCCTGCACTGAGCACGTCTAGCAGGGTGGGTGGTCTGTGCTGTTTTCCACTGAAGGATTCCAAGAACGAGAGAGGGAGAAGCTCTATCATCAGTGAGGTCAACTTTCTCTGTGTTGCTCAATAAAAAGGTTTGAGCTTGAATTTTAAGTGGTCTTACTATAAATGCTATATGTGTTATAGAAGACAGTACACACACTGTATGCCATATAGTCAAAATGTGGGATTTATTCTGAGAGGAGGGCTGGGGTCAGATGTGTTGCTTTAAAAAAACTGCTTATCAATCTCAAATCATCTTTAAGTGGATTTTATTTTAGGTATCATGTAAAGGACAATGGAAAACTAATTGGAATGGATATGTCAGGTTCATAATATTCATTACAGGTGCTGAGTGTGCATTTGTCTCAGCTGCACATTTTGCTGAATTGGAATAACTGATCAGAATATCCTGAGTCCCTGAGCTGGGTCATGCACAGTGTGAACCTGCTGTTCACAACTCAACACAAGAATGTGCACGGAACTGTTTAACCTTGTGCAAAGACAAAGAGAAGGATGCTTGATGTGGACAAACGTGTCAGTGAATGGGTCTCGTGTGAATATGTTTTCTTCCCATGAGGTCTGCTTGTATGATTATTCAGCAAACCTTCAGAACTGCACAAATTTGTTGTACATTGCTAGTGTTGACGTGATAAATGCCATCTGCATGTTAGTTAAAACTCTGCCACATCAACAGTATATGACGACAGAATTTTGCTGGAAATGTTTTAATTCATTCAATTCACAACTACATAACTATGTGCAGATTCTTTGTTTGAGCTTTACTACTGATTTTCATTGAACCCTCCTCTGTCAGAGGATTAACTTCTCCACAAATGAGGAATAGTTTTCAATTATGAGACTGGAGTCAAGGGTGTGTATATATGCATTTCATGTGAATAAACTATGTGACCTTGTTGTCAGATTACCTCAGAGACATATATGTCGGACAAAGTGGAGATTTTAGCTTGTCATACAGTAGCACAGATTTAATTTCTAACATTAAGAGCATCTGCATTCCATTAGCGGAGCTAGTTCCTGATACGGTGCATACTGACTCGTTCTCATGGGGAACTAACCCACTGATAGCAGAATTTTCTTCACCTGAGCTCTAATAGCAAAAAGCAGAGAGCTCTGAAAACCCCCTAATATTTGTGTGTTGGATTCTTGCATGAGGGCAAAAAATATGTAATGTGTAAAGCCACTTCCCCTGTGTGTAAACAAATGTTAATTTGTGTTCTCTCTGTGTTACCTTGTGACGCACTTACCACTAGAGTAGAATTCAGTTAGTCTATTCTCTGCTCTGTTGGTGCCACACACTGTTTATTGTGAAGGTGACTTCACTGTGCGTGTGGCTAAAGCAGCAGACAGCCCTGTGTCAGCCCTGCTTAGTGCTCTCCTGTATGCTCCGCCTGGCAGCCATAGACTGCATTGTCCACACCTAAGCTGGGAGAAAGTCCTTTTTATCATTTTTTGCAGGGATAGCCTTGCACTTGGCTGTCTTATTTCTTATGCGTGTGCCTCAGGAAGATGCACATGAAAAGCGAGTGTTCCTGACCTGCAGATTTAGCTCAAGCATTATATGAAGCTATGCTAGAACAGGATCAGGCCAATCCAGTCCGGGCTAGCCACAGCCCAAAGCTGTTACCTCATGGACAGAAGATGTAGCTTGTCGACTCCAGCGCTAGAAAAAAAAATGTTGCATGCTAGATGGAGGCTCTGCAAGCATGAACATGTTGACACTGCTTCATGTAAACCAAGATTAAAATGAGCAGCCCAGCACTGACATCAAAGAGAATTTACTGCTTGCAAATCAAAAGGATTATTTTATCATGCCTCACATAAATGGATTGAGATAGACATGCGACACAGCAGTATATTCTGCCAGTATATAAAACTCTACTGTTCAGATTACAGACAAAAACGTAAAAACCCCAGCAGACATGACTGCTGAAGTGTGGCAGATGTTGGATGACTTGTTTCAGATGACTCATGATTTTTCTGGAACAAAAACAAGTTGCTGAGCTTATCAGAAACCCTTCCACCATCCCAAAGTTAGATGATGATTTCACATTAGAATTATTACTCTGCCGTTCAGTATATGCACCCATATCCCAAATACACTGATAAAGCTTTTGGTAGGCAAGTCTGTAACACTGTGCTTGTCAATCTGGCAATATACACCCTCCTACCACTTCATTAATTACACTTCCCTTTAATTACCTCCTCGTTTATCTGTTTTTAATTAACCATGAAATTATTGCTCTTTCCTATTTGGAGGTGGCGTCTCATCTCCTGTATTTTTGTCTCTTCCTGAATATATATTTGCTCATTACGACTGTGAAATCCTGCATATAAGATGGAATAGTTGGTCTGTTGCATCTACCCCGGTAGATGAAGGAAGGGTGTGCATGTGTGTGTACACCTGTGTGCTAAGAGTTAGTGAAGGACAAGGCCAAGGGCAGAATGAGGGCCTGCGTGTGTGTGTCTTTGTGTTCTCATCCACACACACACACATTTTCACATTTCCATCACTTCAAAGCGCATCCCACTGACTTAGATCCATTTCCTGAGACTTACCCTAACCTTTACCCACACTATAAACCAAGTCTTCACCCTTGACAATAGGGTGACTTCATTTTGCAGGGTTTGTGATACTCAAAAATGTTTTCACCATTTCACAGCTGATCTTTTTTCAATGATTGTCTATGGGAAAAATGCTTTCCAGTCGAGTGTGCATCATGTGATGAACAAGGAAACTGTAGTAACATGGTTTGTCCAGCGCTGATCCTGGTGGCTTGGGCAAACCACAAAACACAATGGAAAATACGGTTGGGTGTGATGTCACTCCTAGCTCCGACTTTTGAGTTCTGTGGTAAATGGAATGCACTACTATTATCCTTATGAGGTTGCCAGATTACAACTTATTAAATTTACATTTTAGTCTTTCAACAGATTAAACAAACAAGATCTATTGATGAGCTTTAAGAGTGCTGGAAGTCAGATTTGAACAGAGTCAGGCTAACTGTTTCCCCCTGTTTCCCGGTGTTAGCAGCCACACAATGGTAAACAAAGATGAAACTTAATACCAGGCTGAAAAGCAGTGCTTTCACAGCCCTTATTGGCTTCACATTTGTCACACCCGTAGCAACACCCGATAGTGAGGTGACAGTGAACTGACACACCCTGGCGGACTTCTTCAGTACAGTATATCACTGCAGCATGGTGAGAGGTTATAGCTGAAGGGCAATAAAAATCAGATTTTCAACTCCTTGACTACTACATGGTCATATTTCTAATATTTATATTTCTGCAAATGAAAATATAAACCAATGTTGAAGTGTAAACGGATGCTGGATTCAGTATACAGACTGCAGTTGTTTTGTGATGTTACAGTAGGTCTGTTTAGTTAATACCTAATGTAAAATATAATACATTGCATTCATCCATATGCAAAATACAAGGAAATGGTCAGTTGATAGGTGAAATTATTGACAAATGAAAAGAACTCTGTTAATCTTTTCTGCTTACATTAGGTGCATGACGCACCATTTATTCCAGTTTTCCATTAATACCTGGCTGTAGATAGGAAACGTTCTTTCTGTAGACAACAGGCTAATGCAGTGAATAAAGTTCTTGCTCTGGCTAATTGAAAGTGACTGAGTGGTGCTGAGCGTAACTGAGTACGGCTACAATTACCTATTGTTTCCTTGAGCAGAGTAAAAGATCTATAATAAAATCAGTGTAAATTGGAACCTGGTACTGTATATCTCAGCTGATATCCAGCATTCTTAATAAGTACAAGCAGTGTAAAGGTGGCTTAATGAATAGGTTTGCATTTGTGATTAGTTTGAATACTTTCCCAGTTATTTTTGAAGGCAAAGATATTTACAGTTGTATTTACACTGAACGAGACTGCTCTTACTTAACAAACGTGGTAAATCAACCTTGACTGCATTAGAATTCAATCAAAGTGACATTAATTCCAAGCCAAGTGCATCTGCTGTTGGACTGCCTGCCTTTTACAGTCCCTTTTTCAAAGGCTTTTCATCTCGGCGCCATGTAACTGTTCAAACATTGTTGGTATTACCAGTTGCATTCAGATTTTTTTCCTCGGAGCAAAATCCTTGTTTCTCCGCTGTAATGTTAATACTCCTTTAGAGCTAGTTAAACAGTTACAATAATTTTGTGCACATTTTTGAAACAACTTCCTAGCAGCTTCCAACTACTGTTGGGTGGCAGATTCAAAACAAAACACACACACACACACACATATTTCTCCACAGTCTGCTGTTTACCTACTATATCTGGTATCATGCATGAGGAATGGATGTTTGAAAGAAGGCAGGGAGTTAAGATGCCTCTTCTCTTCCTTCATTGCCTGGCAGGGTACTGTTTCCTCTCCTCCATCTCACTTCTTAATAAAAACCATAGCATCCATCTCTCAGTGAATGGCAGGTTGCTATGCGTCCTCACCATCCTCTGAGGATAATGAGTTTTGGTGCAGCTTGCACAGATGGAGTCTCAGGGAGCAGTCCACCATCGACCATACTGGTCTGACTATCCCCCTTTGAAACACAGAGTACAATAGGTTAATTTATATCCCACCAGGATTTAAATATTTTAGTTAAGTGTTGCACACCTCCCCTCATCAGAATAAGAGGTTAGTGATGTTTGCAATGTGCACCTATCCTAATAATACATCTGACTTGTCTGATTGAATCCTGATTTAAAGATTCCCAAAGATAAATGAATGTCTTGATGGACTGTATCATTGATAAGATGTCACTGTGGTGTTGTTTTTTTTTAGGGCAGCGACGAGGGCGACGTGGACAAGAATAAGTGCTGCACGCTGTGTAACATGTCCTTCACCTCAGCAGTGGTGGCGCAGTCACATTACCAGGGTAAAATCCACGCCAAGAGGCTAAAACTACTACTGGGGGAGCAGCCTGCCATCATAGCCAAAGGTATAGTCCCCATTCAAAATGCATCATACACTGTAGAGAAGCAGCATATTTCTAAAGAAAATATGTATGAATTATTATCAATCCATCCATTGCCCCATACCACTTATCCTGTAGAGGGTCACAGGGGTGGGGGCTGGAGCAAATTGCATTTATTTGTGAGAAGAAAACTCATTAAGAAATGAGACACAGGATGCCATGTGTTGACAATGTTTGAAATTCAGTTTGACAGGGAATACATTTTTCAGCAAATTTTACAGCTGCCAAGAATTGCATCCACTTTTGTTAAAGCTATTAAAACTTAGGTCTACAGCAGTTTAAGTTCCAAATAGTTCGGTAGTCAGCACTGTTGTCTTCCAATCAGAAAGCTTACAAAGGTGTGACAAAACACAGCAATGTAGGTACACTGATGTAATGTCTTTAACATTCAACATCTTTTAAGCTATTATGACAACTCAATAGTTATCACACTGTCAGTGTCAAATAATTGCAGATATGTGGTGGTAAACTGACTTGATCCAAACCCTTCTAAAATGAAAATTTACAAGCAAAGCAGCTCCTATCAAGAAAAAAATTGAGACTTTGAAATCTCACTACCAAACTGTACAATCTTTGTACTCTTTCATAACAGCATTGTACCACTCTGGGAAGGCTATATAAAAGAGATGAACTTCTCCATATTCACTGTTTGTTGCTAAACAACAGTATTCCACATTGTTCATGATAACATGGTAAACAAAGAGTCTTCTTCCCATGGGCATCCCCGTTCTGACTGTCCGTCATTACATAATTGGTCAACGCAGCACCTTTGCTGGATGATGTTACTATCTGGTGCTGCAAAAGTCAAACCAGATCCAAGTTTTTCACCACGGGGCTGCATCGTTTTGCCAGAGTCCTGTGTGGTGCTGGTGGTGGCTGCAGTGAAAGCAGTCCCTCATAGAAATGAATGGAGAGGGCTGTGTTTTGTCACACTTTTGAAATTCAGTCTGAATGCAGCCCAGTTTGTAATTCTGAGTGATGTCTCAGCAACTAGATGATTGAGTGCCTTGGAGTTTGTTTCAGACGTTTGTATTCCCCTCAGGATAAACTTGACTTTTTATCTGGCACCATCATGGTAAATGGTAAATGGTCTTATACTTGTATAGCGCTTTTCTATGCATTACAACACACTCAAAGTGCTTTCACACTATTTGGCCATTCACCCATTTGCACTCCCAAGCACTCACACATTCACGCACCGGTGTCATCACCAGGAGCAACTGGGGGTACAGCGTCTTGCTCAAGGACACTTTGACATATGGATTGGACAAGCTAATCCTCCGGTTTGGAGACGACCCGCTCTAACTCCTGAGCCACAGCTACCCCCATCATCAGGTCAAATATTGCCCAGAGCATTGCTAAATCTAAAGCCCTTTTCAGATATGTACCCCTAGCCAGGAATTTGACATTCATGTCTAGGTGTCATGTCTGAACAAAACCTCGAGTCACATAGCTGGCAAAGTGTTACGGGCAGTTTTACCTGATGGGACCGAGTCAAATACCTGCCTATGTTCCAACCGGCCACATGTTTGAACTGAAGTGGTCAAATTGCCGGTAAGGAGCATTGTCAAGATGATGACAGTACAGCATAATGCAAACATTTGATCTGTTTCACTCTATGTTCTCACCCACTCTAAGTCTTGTCTATGAAAAGGCTGCATGTCATTAATTTTGGGCCAATTTCTTGCCAGCTGACCTGATGTCCAGGTGATCAGGTGTAGTTAACCTGTAATGGCTACCCCAGATGGCTATATCTTGTATTTGCTTTCCTTCTGATTGAGAGATCAGCATCAGAAGTGATGTGACTGACATCATGTTTATTATGTACACTCTCAGAGGCTAACCATGATTTCCCCAGTGATTTCCCAAAATCTCTACAACAGAGCAAGATTAGCACTAGCTATAGAGTCGCCATCCCCACTTTTAGTGGAAATACAACATGCTAAAAAAAGAAAAAGAAAGAAACAATGCTATCCTTTAAGTGATAGCTAACCCAACTGGTGAGGCAAGCTGAGAAGCCGAAGTCCACAGTGAATGTGATGACACCACCCATTCTGAGTCTGAACATTCTGAGCAGTACACATCAATGCTAGGATATGAGAACGTCTGGAATGAGCATAAAACACCAGCCTTGAGTATAGAAAAACACATATAAAATGGATGAAAAAGTTGATTCAACATGATATAAAACAAAGGATGATTTAAGAACAGTTGAAAATGCTCAAAGACTGGCAGAATGTTCAAAAATAAAGAAATATTTGAAGAAGTCTTAATAAAACTTCTCCAGAAAGATCCTAAAGGAGCACCCAGGGCAGATGTTTTCCTCCTCATGTGATAGCAAAAGAATAAGCATAAACTTTATTGCCAAGTTTTATCAAAAATACAAGTAATTTGACTCTAGCCCAATAGCCCCTGATGTACACAACACGAAAACAGAATAAATGTGGAATATATACATACATACATATACAGTATATATAGATTAGTATATCTAATAACTTGTCAATAGACTAAACAGCAAGATACTTTGGTTTTAGATTTGAGAACTCTGACACTACTGTACCTTGCTTTCTAAGTCTGATTGCAGCCTGGGGATGCACTGCTCAGTCAGCACCCTTTGCTGCAGCATTTGCTCTCTGTGCCACATGTCAGTGACAAACACAGCCATTAAGGATGCCATCTGTGGCCAGTGTCTCAGAACAGAGGCAGCTCCATGCCTGTTAAAAGATGAGGGTGACACAGCCATCAGTCACACTGGCACCCAGGAAACTACTGGGACACTGAGAATTCACCACCCCAGCTGACAGACATGTTAGAAAATTAAATTCTGCTGTTTAGGTTTACAGCTGCTCATGTTCAGAGAATTGGGAACTCTGAATTTGACCTTGTTAATCATTAACCTTTGAAAGAAGTATGATTCTTTAGTGCTTTCCTTGGATCCTTTCTTGAATGGAAATGCATGAAACTGCATTTAAAACATCAAGGGACACTAAACCTCACTAGGTAAATTCACATATACAGTATGATGAAATAGAAATAAAATTTTTTCTATCAATGCATATGAATTGTTACACATCTACAGTCAGAGGATTCGCTAAAGAGTCTGTTAGGAAAGTGTTCAGTCTGTTACTGTTCAAACCACCCATATTCCAGCTGAAATAGCAGAACTGCTAGCTTTGGACTGGGCTTATTTTATCCTCTGAAACAGTAATTTAAGCCACCTCTATTGTACAGCCACCCAGATCTGTCACAAATAAAAAATGTCAGGAAGATAAATCCAGTGCACCAGGAGGCCCGGGCCATTGATTTTTACATAAGTAACATCAATGAACTGGCCAGATTCCTGTGTTGATCCGCCTGCCACTCGGGACCTGCTGTTGTTGCAGCGTACTGTTATCCAATAAACAGTTGCAAAAACTCTAGATTGCCAAGCATTTTCTTCCTCACTCTCTGCAGACACCAAACGTCTATGCAGGTAGTGCTGTTAAAAAAGCTTCAGTAACCACTGACGAGAGCCTCACAAGCTTACCTGGTACTTTCTTTTGTCTTTTAAACAGATGGTGTAGATCATCCTTGTGGGTTGACAACCCTTCTTCAAACCACATGTTAAACATTTCAACAATGCACCACCGTTAAACAGAAATGTGTTGAAAAGTCCTGCATAAGCCGTTTTTCTGAATATCAAATTAACTTCTTGAACATGCAAGAATTTCATCTAACAGTTGTAATGAGTGTTTCATCTTTTTCCCACCGGCACAGTATTTGCCTCTATGTTGTAAGGTAGGCTTGAGGAAGTAGCTGGAGATGGAAGTTGCCTCTTTCTCTTTTATTTTCACACACGCACATACACACACGGGCAACCACGCCAACAACCATATTACCGAACAATCCCCGCCAACCCTGAAACTAAATGTATCCCACCCAAAAGGGCATTACAGAGGATCCCCCAGGTGCTTCCCCCCTAAAGCATTCTGGGGGACACTGCCAAGTATCTCTCTACCTGCAACACTACAATATCAACAATAACTCATCTTTGCCCTTTTACTCAAGCACACTTGTGCTGATGTGCATATTTTAACTGAGCCATAGCACATGCTGATCTGCATACGTTTTAGTCGAATATCAGTGTTGCAATTCATTGCAGTTCAAATTCAGTTTCCGTCTTATACTGTAGCTGAAGCAAGCTGAATGAATGTTAACTTGCCATTACTATTTTTGTATAGCCTAATCACAGGTTCATGCATTTTCTACATTGTTTCTCTAAGCACTACAATATATTCATTTTCTGGCCTGTTTCCAGTTTTCTGGGCCATAAGCTGCCCTGAATGTCACTTCCTTTAAAATCTGCAGCTTTATGTGGGATAATTCTTCCCTGCTCTGATTTACTGGGAAGTGATTTTGAGAATTTCAGAGCTAAAATGCAACATGGCCCTGGCTCTCTTCCCTCACATTTACTGTAACAAGGGACATTAGACTCAACCTGTTAACCAGCAGTTAATGTGTCTAAATCCTGGCAGTAACAGTAACATACAGTACAGAACAAAGTCCTACTCTAAAATAGCCCCCTTCTGTTTCCCTGCTATATCTCAACATGTTGTACAGTAGCTTCAGAAAGTATACATACCCCTTAATTTTAAATGGATAAATGTTTGCCTACTCAATAACCCATAATGATAAAGTCACACTGTGTATATTTATTAACAACCACAAACTGGATTCCCTCCTTTACAAAAGTATTCAGACGGTTTGCTGTGACACTCCTAACTGGTCAATGGTGCCCGTTTGCTTTAATCAACCTTGACTTGGAGTCCACCTGTGGCAAACTGAATTGATTAGACATAGACAAAAAAACACAAGCAACATTTTTCGTTTTATTCATTTCAAATAAAATGTATAATGTAATTGTGCCAAAAGTGATGGCATCTGAATGAAACAGCAGTGACTAATGAGCTGCAGTGGCATTT